CTCCCAGAATTCCCCAGCTGATATGCTTTAAGATGGGTGGACTTCAACTCCCAGAATTCCCCAGCTGATATGCTTTAAGATGGGTGGACTTCAACTCCCAGAATTCCCCGGCTGATATGCTTTAAGACGGGTGGACTTCAACTCCCAGAATTCCTCAGTCAGCATGTTTTAAGATGGGTGGACCTCAATTCCCAGAATTCTGCAACCTGCTCACTTTACAATGCATGGGCTTCAACTCGCACAATTCCCCAACCAACATGGGGAATTCTGGGAGCTGAAGCCCATGTAATGTAAAGTTAGCCTAGCCACCATCCATAGCATCTCCTCGTGGTGCCCCATCCACCAAGTGTAACTTCCCTTTTTCAGCTTCAGCTCGCCGCTTCTGCTACCAACGGCCCTCTGAGACTTTTTCAGATACGTTCCATGGTTGCAATCCAGCCAACGATTTCTGCAGTTCAGACCTAAACCATTTTCTTCTTCTTCTTCTCCTCTCTCTCACTCACTCTTCCCAGTTTCTAATTGATTAGCGCCGTTTGAAAAATTAGGCCTAACCGCTCCGCTAATCAAGATAAATGGAACCTTCGCTTGTAGTTACAGCAACGGAAAAACGAGGAAGAAGATTTGGTGGCCACTGAAAAGGCCGGCGTTAGCGGAAGAAGGAGAGTTCATCCTGGAAAAAGATAGACGAAAAACAGCATCGAGGAATAGAAAAACGTGGCCATTTGTGTCGAAAAAAAATCACGTTTTTTTTACTTAGTACTTGGCTCTGGTTGATTGATTATGTACCCTTCCAGGAATTTCCTGAAAAGCTGGCAGGGAATCTAGAAATGTGGGATAAATGGGCAGAAAGCTAGTAGAGCATCAACAAGGATTCAGAAGACATGCTGGAAACTCCTTAATTGAATAACACACGGACAGATTTCTCTGTGTTGGAAGAAATATCAATCTGGGTCAGTGGTGGGTTGCTCTTACCTTCGCTACCGGTACGCCATTCGTGCACTGCACACGGATGCACACTCAACTGCCCCTGCGACACCCAGCTTCTCGTGGGAGGTCACGGAGGCGCCGTACGCTCTGAGCGCAAGGACAATTATAATGCAATACAATAGCAGAGTTGGAAGGGATCTTGGAGGTCTTCTAGTCCAACCCACTGCTCAGGCAGGAAACCCTATACCGTTCCAGACAAATGGCTATCCAGCATCTTCTTAAAGATTTCCAGGGTTGGGGCATTCACAACTTCTGAGGCAACTTCTGTTCCACTGATTAATTGTTCTCACTGTCAGGAAATTTACGCCTCAGTTCTAAGTTGATTCTCTCCTTGATTAGTTTCCA